GGCGAAGTCAAACCCCAAGGGATTCTATCAAATGTATCATACTAAAACACGAAAAAAAGATTGGACCAATACAGTCAGATACCAGAGAGCTAACTCATAACGACGGAGAAATATTTTTCAACAGTTTTCACTACCGAAAATTTAAACATAATACCCGAGGCACCGGCTCTATACAGAGATAGTGAAGAAAATAAATTAAGCGAGATAGTAGTGACTAGTAACGATGTTAGTAAGCAATTAGACAAACTAAAGCCTAATAAGTCACCAGGTCCCGATGAGATATTTGCCATAGTATTAAAGGAATGTAAGGAAGAGCTTAGTATGCCCTTAGTTGTTTAACATGTCCTTAAAAACGGGTTTAGTACCAGAATTTTGGAGGATAGCTAATGTAATACCGATTTTCAAGAAGGGAGATAGATCACCATCCTCTAACTACCGTGCAATCAGTCTAACAGCAATTGTAGACAAATTACTGGAAGCAATTATTTCAAACTCTATTCGAAATCACCTGGAGAAGCACAAGTTGATCAATGATTCCCAACATGGCTTCACAAGTGGGCGATCATGTCTAACTAATCTATTAACATTCTTTTCATCTGTTTTCGAAACAGTAGACGAGGGGCACAATTATGATGTGGTATATCTCGACTTAAGCAAAGCCTTCGACAGAGTCCTCCACGAAAGACTAATAAGAGAAGTGGAGACTCATAGCATTAAAGAAGATATTCTAAAATGGATTTGGGCATGGTTACAGGACAGGAAACAGCCGGTGAGCATTAACGGTACTAAATCCGATTGGAGCAACGTCACTAGTGGAGTTCCCCAAGGCTCGGTACTTAGACCATTATTATTTATTATATACATAAACGACATAAATATCGGCGTAGACAGCAACATAAGTAGATTTGCTGATAACACTAAAATAGGGCGAGTAATTAAATCTGATGAGGACTCTGTGGGGTTAACGTGATGTAGGATCGCACTAGGATGAAGGTGAGAAGGAAAACTCAGCAATGGCGTTATATAAATAAATAAATATATATATATATATATATATATATATATATATATATATATATATATATATATATATATATATATATATATATATATATATACAATGCAGTGCTAGGGAGTTGCTGTGTGGTGAGGAGCTTCTTGAGAGAAGGTCTTGTCTACTTGAGAGTGCTCAGTAGAATCCCCTTCACGGCGAGGCTGTGGGCTTATATACGAGTCCACCGGAAGTAAGCGTCGCTGTTGGCCGACCCTGCGCAGTCAGACGCTAGGCTTGTCAGAGAAACTCGCCAAGGGATCGGCTGATCAGCGACTAACGGCAGTGGCAGTTGTAGGGGAGATTATCCACTACAACTCCACAAAACTGCAGGAAGATCTAAACAAATTTTTCGAATGGTCTGAAAAATGGCAGATGAAATTCAATGTGGACAAATGTAAAGTCCTGTATAAGAGATATAAACAGGGAAACCAGATACCAGATGAACTATGATGTTATTGAGAAATCCGACTGCGAGAAAGATTTAGGAGTAATGATAAGTAGGAATCTTAAGCCAAGTAAACAATGTGTATTTGCTCGAAACATGGCTAATAAAGTACTTGGGTTCATACAAAGGAGTGTCAGTTACAAGACTAGCGAGGTCATCCTAAAACTATATTTTGCACTTGTGAGACCTCTGTGGGGTTTCGTGATGTTGAATCGCACATAGGATGGGGTGAGATGGGAAACTCAGCTATGGCGTTTTTTCTATATAAATATATTACATACAAAACAGTCTGGGGCTGGGAAGTTGCTGCTTGGTAGAGGAGTTACTGTGCAGGAGCTTCTTTAGAGGTATTGTGTGTTGCAGAGCTCTTGGTAGAATGGACTTCACGGCGAGGCTGGGAGCTTATATACACATCCACCGTAAGTAAGCGTCGCTGGTAACCGACCTCCCCCCCCCCCTCCCACGAGTCCAGACGGCAAGGCTTGTCAGAGAAACACACCGGGTGGCCGAACCCCGCCGCGAGTCAAGACAGCTAGGCTTGTCAGAGAAACTTCGTCGCTGAATCGGCTATTCAGCGACTAACGGCAGTGGCAGTTGTAGGGGAGCGTATCCACTACACCTCACTTGGATTACACAGTTCAATTCTGGTCTTCGTATTACAGAATGGATATAGAACCCTTGGAAGGAATTGAGAGCAGATTGACAAGACTAATCTCGGGCATTATGAACCTTGAGTACAAAGACGGGCTAAAACATCAAAATTTGCACTCCCTCGAGGGACGTAGAGTGAGGGGCGATATGATAAAGGTGTATAAATGGAAGTCAAACTATCCAACCAGGAGCGAACTCGTAACAATGGTTTGGAAATAGGACGAGTGGAACAAGTTAGCAAATATCATCATTAACTAGAATACGCTGGATAGCTTCAAGCATAGGTTGGATGGATGGTGAGCAATAGGGCTTGGGTGTAAATGGGACTGCCCAGTCTGGGCCAATAGGCCTGTAGTGGATTCCTCCCCTACAAACGCTGTTTGTAGCTGAGTAGCCGACCCTGCGAATTCCCCAGTGTATGCCTCGTGGTCTAGGTCAACCAGCGCCGCCTTACATGACGGAGGTCAACTATTAAGCCACGCCTACCTCCGCTATATAAAACCTGACCTCGTGGTGACCTACCTCTCTTTCTACCTACAGCCAGTCCTCAAGTAACACCACCTCCTCCGCCGCTGCCTGGCGGCCCTCGCTCGTGCCGGCTAGCATGGCGACCCACAAGCTGGTCCTCCTCTGAGCACCCTCACCAACCAACTCTCTCTACTCAACGCTTGTAACCATGCTGCCTTCCCAGCACCAAGCTGCATTACTTTTACTTTTATCCTCTTCGCCACTGATCGGCTTGTTAGCCGCTTGGGCGATCGGTCACGTCTCTTTTCCTTTATATTCTTCACCAAAAGGTCGGCTCGCTAGCCGCCCGGGCGATCGGTCACGTCTCTGTCACGCACTGTTGGCAAATACTGGGCATGCACCGGCTCCTGAATGTACCTGAACCCGCTCCAGTGTTGGTCAAGTCTTCTCTTGAAAGAGCTCACACTCGGTGCCGTCACAACACTCTCTGGTAGATTGTTCCAAGAGTTTACAACCCTCACTCCGAAAAAGTTTGCCCTCACGGTTTTCTGGACTTGCGGCTTCTTCAATCTTGAGCTGTGACCCCTTGTGGGGCGAGCGTCCGCCAGCTCCAAGTAAGGACACTCAACTGAGTAGTGCCCCCTGAGATGCTTATAAACCTCAACTAGGTCCCCCCTTGCCCGTCTGTAGTATAAGCTAGGCAAGTTCAGGCGCTCCAATCTCTCAGGGTAGCTGAGGTGCCGAAGTGCAGGCACCAGTTTGGTGGCCCTCCTTTGAACATTTTCAACCAACTGACAGTCCCTAGCATATCTCGGGGACCAGATGGGGTGACAGTACTCCAGATGGGGAAGCACTTCACTCCTGAAGATCGTCACGAGGGACGGACCGTCTAGATATCTGAACGACCTTCTTATAAGACCCAATAATTTATTTGCCTGATTTACCTTCTTCTCACAATGGCCCGAGAACTTCAGCTCATTGTCAACATACACACCTAGGTCCTTCTCACACACAGTCTCAACTAGTACATTTTCTTCATCCCGTTGGGACATATGGTACGCCTCCTTACCGTTGGTACGCCCCAGGTGCATCCTCTTGCACTTCGTGACATTGAATCTCAGCAGCCATTCCTTCGACCATTCCTGGAGCCCACAGAGGTCCTTCTGCAGCTCTTCACAGTCCGCTTGGTTCTTAATTTCCCGAAATAACTTGCCATCATCGGCAAACATTTGTATGGAGGAGTGTACAACGTCAGGCATATCATTTATGAAACAAACAAACAACAGCGGGCCCAATACACTACCCTGCGGTACCCCACTTGTTACAGGTACAGATGACGATTTCGTGCCATTAATCACCACACATTGCTTGCGGTTATGTAGAAAGTCTTCTATCCACGCTAGGACATTTCCCCGAATTCCGTACCCTTCCAGTTTGATTTTCAGCCTTTCGTGGGGTACACTGTCGAAAGCCTTGGCAAAATCTAGGTAAATATTGTCGATATTACCACCCCGTTCTAGAATATGGGTCCAAATATCCAATACCTTGAGCAATTGTGTCAAGCAAGAGCGCCCCGGCATAAAACCGTGTTGGCAATCTTTTACATTGTACATCCTATACAACATGTATACAGAGAGCACATTGTGAGTTTCCTTTCTCCATCCCATCCTGAGTGTGAACCAAATAATCCCGTACCCTACAGGCCCTCTGCAGTTTCCTTCATTCTTAGGTTCTTATGTATGTTAGCCAATAGTTTCACCTGGCTCACCTGTACACTTATGGCTCTAGCCATAAATAATAATAATAACTGATATTCAGTAAGTTTGACCAAGGACAGCTAAGAGAACCATAAGAGGTTTATTTCTAGTAGAGTCCTTGGCAGCAGCAACTGGTGTTCTAAGGTTAGGGCCGTGTGGTCACCCAGCAAACCCAAAGTTGCTTCGCTGATCAGACAAGAAGCGGTGTTTCCAGCGTGGTACTACTTGTTGCTTAGTGAAAACTGCTTCAAATAACTAGTAATAATCGCATTAAATGCTTATTGTTTGCCATTAAGTAATGTAATGGTTGAACGTATAATTTCACGTGTTACAAAGTACTGTATCGGATAAAATACTTTCAAACTTAATGTTATGAATATTCCACGAAATAGGCTGTTAAGCCTTGAACGATATAAATTTTGAAAACAGACGAATCAAATTTAAAGAAACATACATAAACAATCCTAAAAAAGTTTTAATTGAGCATGATTAACTTAGTTAGTTTAATATTTCAGGAAATTTAAGAGGTTTCGTGATGTTGTTCGTGGTAAACTATATAACATTAACCAGCACGCTGTTAGGTCGTCAGGTCTGGACTGTAACCGACCACAATTTTCGCGGTTGTAAACAAAAATGGCGGACAAAGCGTTGGCGGCATTTGAATAATGTTATAGGCTGATGGAAAGGCGTCCAGACACCTCCCCTCAAGTGGTGCTAAGTCCCTAAATATCATGCAGCTGTTAAAACCGGAATGGATTAACCATGATGGTAAGGCGGCCAGACCCATTTAAGGTGTCCTGCCATAATGTTTACACCTTGTTTGGGTGGCGAGGAACAGGTTATTACAGTCAGTGATAAACAGTAAGTTGTTTTAACCAAAAGTAATCGTGGAGGAGATGGCTAACACCACAACGCGTTGTTTGATTTCATTAATTTTTTTTCCCACATTCTATGGATGATAGTAAGTAATAAAATGATAGGACAATACACCGAACCTAATAGAACCTGACCTAACCCACCAAAGAAACCTAACCTTACCTTACCTAACCTAACCTAACCTAACCTAACCTAACCTAACTCCCTGTCATATTAAACAGAAAGAACTTATTTTGATGTCTAGTACCAATGAAAGCAACTTTCTTCAAGTGTCATGGTGTAATTTAAATTTTTTTTTGTGGACGTGAGAGTACAGTATGACCAGACCGAGCGGGTTGGTTGCTGCACAGAAACAAACAGCTGATGACAACACGTGCCCACACGGCAGATATTTTTTTAGGAATATTTACGGTAAATAATTCATTTCTTAGTTTACAAAGCACGTAGAGACATCGCCGTGTTTTACCCCGCAATTTCCCTCATCTTTCGTCCCCTCTCCACTACAGGTGAATTATGATCATAGAGAAAACCTAAAAAATAATTATACCTGTAATTAAAATAAAAAGTTTTCATATCTTCATTGCTAACTATCATTCAAAGAACATCTGTGGAAAAATTAAAGAAATCGAACGACTCGTTCTGGTTTTAGCCGTGTGTTCCAGTATTACCTAACCAAATATAACTTGAGAAAACCTCTAAAATCTATTGAGAAACAGCAGTGTTTGGCCATTAGATACAAACGATTCTTGAATAGTGATGTTTACTTAATCAAGTTTCATAACATAAAAATACTGAGGAATCACCTGAAAAATCTCCACCCCAGCCCACTCCACCTGATGAATTCCCCTCCTTACAACAATTTTATAGTTACAGTAAAATAAGGTTAAAAAAAAGGCCAAATATTTATACTTCTTTCTTACATCTTTATTGGTAGGTTACCAGAAAATACAAGATAAAAATTTACCCAATATTGCAAAATACACAATACTGATTATATTGTATACAGTAGCAATATGGTAACACAAAGTTTCAAAAGCATTACTGGTATGTGAAAAGGATCAGGCTACATGAATTTTTAAAGATGGAATTTAAAGTCTCATTTGCAACCACTAACAAATTTGTATCCATTATGTGGTGTCATTGTAGGTCTCGGGTCATGTAAGTGTGTGTGTGTCAGCTGTACAAGTCAGATCAAGGTCACATAGCCAATGTACATTTGACCTGTCCTCACCCAACGAATCTCCCCAGCCCATGCCACCAAAAGAATCCCCCCCCCCCCCACTATTGCTACCTGGGATGAAGATTCTTCATGTGATCCATACTGAATAACTATCTATCTTAATGTTTTGAGTACCTATTGTTAATTGTGTTTTTCTTATGGCTGTTTTGATGTCTCCTCTTTGCCCCTAGTCAATTGGGCAGCTCAAGCTTGATTATACAATGATATTGTTTCATAGAAGCCCTTTTAAGAAATTCATCTTTTGTATTACTGTACAGTAAGTCCTCGCTTAACGTCGGAGTTACGTTCCTAAAAACGTGTCGTTATATGAAACAACGTTAAGCGGATCAATTTTCCCCATAATAAATAGATAAAATACGGGAGTTATGTTCCTGAGCCTCCCTTTGCCCCATGAAATACATTACATATACAGAAAATCATTGCCATTTCTATACAAAATAATGCATACATACAGTATAGTCTTGGTTTACGCTGTCAATTAAACCCGTGGAGGTCCGCTTAAAACGAGAAACGCGTAAACAAAATAACAGCCTATGGGATTAATTGAAAAAGAGACTGGGCTGACCCCCAGACTACCCTTTTTCAGACACAATACCTACGTTGTAGTAAAAATAACATCTTAATTTTATGATGGTATGCACACACAATTAATATTTAAGTGAAATATCAATAATACTGTATTAGGTTTTTTAACACTTACGTTAGTAGAAGAGATGGCTGGGCACACGGGGATGGGTGGTTGGTTCCGAGGCAGAGGGCAGATTATTGGCCCTCACCTGTATCACTTGTATCAATTATATCACTATCCACCACAGAGGCTTGCAGGGCCTCTTTGTCAAACCCCTCAAAGTCCATATCCTCACTATCACTGACTTGGGCTGGCTGTGGTGGTTGGCGGGTGAAGAACTTGGTAATGTTTTGTTGACTGGGCGACCTAGCGCACACCCTGCCTGCGACGCTTCCCGCATAAATGATGAAATGTACCGCGTAACTAATAATTGCCGGTCTGGCCAGGTGCCGCGTAAATGACCAACCGCGTAAAGGAAATCCACGTAAATCGAGACTATACTGTATACAACTACCTGAACTACTAAGTTTGTTTTGGTACTCACCGATGGGCGGATGTGGTAGAGCGAATGTGTGGTGGTTAGTAAAGCAGATGAGCAGGTGGTGAGTCACTAAGACTCTGCGCCAAGCCGAGAGAGCATAGCGCAGCCAGATGAGGTGATGCACGGTAAAATGTAGTCTGTGACGACGCAAAACGACGTAGTATCAAATCACCGGGATGTTAAACGAATTTTTGGTCTCTAAAGTTTAGTGACGTAGCACCGAAACAACTTAAAGCAGTCCTAGACTTTGTTACATTTCACACAAAGCCTGTTCAACGAGCTTATGGCGCCGTGAACCTCTAATGGGGACCACCTGTATCACGTTACTCTGACCACCTGCAAGAAATAGAAACACTCAAGCCTCTTCTTATCGTAAAAAAATTGACTAAATAGACAAACTGTAATATCGTATTTTAGTATGTTGATTTACAAAACATTTTCTTCATTATTCTATGATAAAACACGTCTAAAAAGCATTATTACAACATATATTATTAATTTTTGTTATGTAATCGGGAAATAGCGACTACTATATCCGGGTTGAGCGTGTTACAGCACCTAAGGAGGTCCTTTAAGTTACGGCCTCGAATACAGACTCAGTTACGGGGTCCGCTGCCAAATATTTGTTTTGAGTATACCGATCAGAGACTGTAAGTTCAGTTACGGGGTAAACAAAGAGATACAGTCCCGTAAATGCTTTTAGTATGTGGCCCCAGTACTGCAAGTTGTCGGCTTAGGTTTTGTGTGCCTACCATTTTAGAAAAAGACATGACAGACTTCCACACCATGCCAGTGGACTGCTTGATGATCAAAAAGAACAAAAAAAAAAACTTTTTTTTTCTTGGTCCACCACCAGGTTTAGTCAGTGCATACAAAAAAATAAATGATGCCGAAATACTCGAGATATTTACTTACGTCTCTTCCTGATTGCAGTATTAAGATTGGTAAAATTATTGTTTCGGTCCTCCACTTATTTGGAAGTTGAAATTTTACATTCAAAATACTGTAACATTAAAAACCATCGGAAAAATATAATTACAGTACAACTTGACCTAAAATCCTAAAATTAACTGGATGACCGAAACGATAATTGTACCTTAAAATTGTGATGTTCATTTATAAATTTATTTTCTGTGATTGTTTTACAAATATTTTCAACTGTTCTCTTAAACTGACCTAACTTACTCAACAATAAAGGTTCAGATTAAAAGTGTACTGTACAGTATAATGCATGTGAATGGTGCAGACACTTAAGATTTGAACCTTCATTAGTTTCAGAATCCTGTAGAAAATTATAAACTTGGATTGTCAAATGATTTCTACTTGTTCCATGTCTGTTTCAGGGGGCAAGGCTATCTTCAGTGTAGATCTGCACCCTGATGGTACTCGTTTTGCTACTGGTGGACAAGGTCAGGATTCATCTGGACGAGTTGTAGTGTGGAATCTAAAACCTGTTGTATTTGAGAAGTACGAGGAGGATGAAAAGGTAACGTATAACTTTACCATATTTGCAATTACCTGCATTTTTTTAATCGGCCATTGTCAGACTTATTTAATGATTAGTAGCAGATTGAATTTATACTGTAAGCTGGTATTGTAGTAATTTTGCATCACAAATTTTGACAACTTTTCAGTTGATCTTTTGTAAGTGAAAAGTGTCTGGCATGTATATGTTCTGGTCTCCAGGACAACAGTGTGTGACCAAAATTTATTATCAGAACAGGAAGATTGGGATTAAAGAGAAAACTGGATGAAAGAGAAGAGAAAGGAGAGAGCAGGAAATAAAGACTTTGGCATGATTTCAGTAATTTTTTTGAAGTAATTTTGATTTTGGAATTTTTTTGAACATAGAACCAAAACTTTTTTAGTGTCAAGTCATCAGAGATAAGTGTTAATGTCAGACCAGCTTGTGCATGAGTTATTAAAGATTACACATATGTCTTGAGATTGTCTTAGCTTGCACAAAGAGCTGTACTCATAGTAGCTTACACAATATAGTGTATGTGCTGCATAATTTTGTAATAAAAGCTTGTTCAGAATGAACATCAAGTTGCAAAACTTTCAAGTTTAGGCTATTTCCACAAGGGGTTCAGGAGGTGCACAAAAATTTCTGGCCTTCCTTTTATTGTCTACAGATTTTTTTTATTTTGTAGAAGATGCCTTTGACAGGTGCAAAATTTGATAGAAATCAAAATTATTAACCCTCTCGTGGTCTTTCGACGCAGATTGCGTCACTAAGCACTCCCATGCTGGCCTGGCCCAGCCCCTTCTGCTCAGCCATATCTCACACTGAGAGCATCCTTCCATAAGCAGAAGTGCTGGAACAGTAGAACGGCCCTATCAACCTCCTCAGTTCCTCCCACTAGTCTTGTGGGATGGCAGATGCATCTCTAAGTGTGAAATTTAGGTCTAGATCACTCTACCCAATGTTTACTAAAATGGAAAAACCGCTCCTGTTTCCGACACAACCTGCATAGAGAGATTTGAGGGGGTGAGATTTCCGACCATGACTAGGAGTATCAGAGGGTTAACTGCATTATAAATAGGCAGTTGAGGTGTTACATTGACACCTGCATGACCTGGGGATATCATTAGCACTTACTGTTCCCTCATATTTACAAATATCATTAATTCTTTTAATGGTAGGCACCTTAAGTTGGGCTCATCCAGTCTTTTGATTCTCTTTTTATTATTTCATAAGTTTTGTTAATAGTTGAGTGTTATACAGTACTACAGTATACCAATGTGTTTTCAGAAGGTTTGTTTAAAAAAAAAAGAACAAAAGAATTTATATCCAAGAAAATAAATTTACTGGGTTCCTCTCTACAGTACTGTACTGTATATATACCATACATGTTTCCATATCACCATGGTCCTAAATACTCTTGTCAGTAATTTATGTCGATAATAAACTAGTAATTTGTCGGTAATAAAAATTCATTTAACTTCCAGTTGAATTTGTTTTTTGCCAGAAATGTTAGCATATGTTTTTGAAGGGTCGAAAAATACTGTGAGAAAAGGTAGTACAGTAATAGCAGTTTGAGGTTAGGTTACGTTTACTAGGTTGACATAAGTTAAGTTGCTTGCAGTATGTTTGGGTTATGAATATGAAAGGACATAGGGAGCGTTTTTTCTTAGAAGAAATATCGGAACAGATTAGTATTCATTGTAGACACCAGAACTGGATGGTTGGAGGGCTTAAGGGGGAAGGAATGGCAAAAGGTGTATATGGTACTGTATGTTTGTATAGGGGAAAAGAAAGGTGAGGATAAATTATGGATGATAAGAAGCAAAACATTTCAGGCTTTTTTCACCTGGTGATTTTGGGGAGATCAGATCTCAAAGGTCAAGGTCATGTCAACGAAATTGTCACCAATTGGTCATGTACACCATTGCTGAGAACTGGGTGGATGCACACTAGCCGCATACCCCCTACGAAGGTGAAGAGGCTGATTGGTTTGCCCCATCGGCTCTGGTCATGTGGACGCAGTACTGTATCTCATGACTTGAGTGTGGATATTGACCAGTTTTATTTTATTTACATTCTTAGATGAGCTTCTGGAATTTTCTAGCCAGTGGGGACATGTGTGTTTTACAAAGAAGTTTATTCAATTTCTTTTATTTGTGTGTGTGTGTGTGTGTATGTAATAATAATAATAATTAACAGTTTATTGAAAAAAGTTCTGCAGCCCGAAGGCTGAAAATATGCATTGGACATAAATGACTTATTACATACATTATCATTGGTGGTTTAACAAAAACCTTCATAAAAGAAAGGTAAAGGAACATACAGTGAACATACAGATTAATGTTTACAGTGGAGGTCACATAGGTCATGTGCGCTGAGGTGTTGAACAGCAGACACGTAGTGTAGTAACTCCCTCACAGATGGTGTTATGAGGGGCATCCCGTGGTGTAGTAGTTCCCTCACAGATGGTGTTATGAGGGGCATCACATGGTGCAGTAACTCCCTCACAGATGGTGTTATGAGGGGCATCACGTGGTGCAGTAACTCCCTCACAGATGGTGTTATGAGGGTCATCACGTGGTGTAGTAACTCCCTCACAGATGGTGTTATGAGGGGCATCACGTGGTGTAGTAACTCCCTCACAGATGGTGTTATGAGGGGCATCACGTGGTGTAGTAACTCCCTCACAGATGGTGTTATTAGGGGCATCACGTGGTGTAGTAGTTCCCTCACAGATGGTGTTATGAGGGGCATCACATGGTGCAGTAACTCCCTCACAGATGGTGTTATGAGGGGCATCACGTGGTGCAGTAACTCCCTCACAGATGGTGTTATGAGGGGCATCACGTGGTGTAGTAACTCCCTCACAGATGGTGTTATGAGGGGCATCACGTGGTGTAGTAGTTCCCTCACAGATGGTGTTATGAGGGGCATCACATGGTGCAGTAACTCCCTCACAGATGGTGTTATGAGGGGCTTGACGTTGTGTAGTAATTCCCTCACAGATGGTGTTGTGAGGGGCCTGATGTGGTGTAGTAATTCCTTCACAGATGGTGTTATGGGGGACCTGACATGGTGTAGTAATTCCCTCACAGGTGGTGTTATGAGGGCCTCACATGGTGTAGTAATTCCCTCACAGATGGTGTTATGAGGAACCTCACATAATGCTGTAGCAACTCATTCACTATGTGGTATCGTAGCATCATGGGGACCTCACTCACTTGAGTCCCAGGCCTCCCTATCGTGGACGGATTAACACATAGCTGGTGTTGTTGAGTCTCGGGCAGTTATCATTGGGTACCTGGGACCTCACTATGTAAAGGTTAGCTTGGGTATGACTCGGCTGTTATCTGTTGAGTTGTGTTTTCACTGACTTAAGCACTGCTCACCACTATTCAACACTAGTTCCATTCCTTTCCTAAATGAAATAGCAACTTCTGGCAAGAACTTATTGATATTCTGGTGAGGAGGAGGGTTCAGGGGAGGGAGTTGGTATGGGCCAACATAACAGTTGACCTGGCTGCTGCCAGAGCAGCGCCAGGTACGTCTTAACCTTCGGTGGTGTGTGTGTGTGTGTGTGGGGGGGCGGGGGGGTCTCATGGGTCTTCTCAGTCATCTCCATTCCACCAATATTACCATTGCAAAGTCTTAAGTCTTTGTATCTCTTTATCCTATCATCCTCCTGTTCTTGAAGCTATTTTTTTTTATCATGTCATTTCAAATTTTTTTTAAGTAAATAACTTTTTCTGTTTTATTGTACTACTGTGCAGTACTTGTACATATCACCTACAGCCACTCATGATACCACAACAGCCCTTTTTACTTCCATTTCCACCATCCACATAATACAAGCTACAATATATTTTAAGACTACTTACCGTGTTCCTCATGAGTTTTCCATCCCAAGATTTTTGTATAACACCCCCCCCCTAACCCCATCCCAAACACTTGTATGAAGAGCAATCAAGATTTGTACATTTGCATCCCAAATTGCACCCTTTTTCTCTCTCTCCCTTGATTCCATCTCTACCTCCTTCCAAGTGCTTAAGACATTCACTGGCAGAAGAACTGATGATTAAGACTTTTCCTCATATACTTTTATTTATCCATTTTTATGATAGTACAGTATACAGTATGTTTTTTGGATGTTTAAGTCTTGTTCGCCCTCATTAAAAAGCACATCTGTACTGTACACATAGTATTCCACAAAAGTACACACATGGATATACTACAGTATAACATCATAATGACACATTACTATGCTGCATTTCCATATGACAATCATGGTTCTTATTGTCTATACAACACTTATGTTTTAGTACGTTTCATGTATGGTTATATTGAGGGTAGGTGCGAAGAATTTTTGATAAACATATAATTTTTAATGTTGTCCGTGCTGCCATCTTACAGTACAGTATAAGGAAATATTAAAGTCTTGGATGAAAAAATATCATTATTCATCATGTGTTATATATAGTACATTACAGTATTTCCATATATTTTTTTAAGTCTTATTTCGTTTTTATTTATTATTTGGTTCTTGTTTACTTTTTTTCCTTTTGAGATTCATAACAACATTATCCTCTGAGTTTTAAAACCCCTCATTGACTAGTGTACTCATAATACCACCATCCACTACACATAACCTCCTTCTTTACTGCCATTGAGGTAGGTAAGCACTTCTAGATCAGCTCCATCTCCAGTGTGCTATAAAGGCTTCATGTCTGTACACCAGTGCCATGTTGGAAATGGCTCTATTTAAGCTTTGTGTTTTAATGTTAGGAGCACTTAGAGAGAGAGAGAGCAACATCCTGCATCAGTACATATGTGTCCATACCGTCATTATATGCATGTAACTCACACATGTATATGTATGCAGACATTGGCATGACTTATGTTATTATGTGTATATATGATTTATTTTTCCATGTTTTAATGTTGCTTGTACATACCTTACATTGATTTTGGTATTGTGTCATGAGGTTAATGTATTGCTGCTGTACCCCAAATGCTTCTTG